ATATGGGATTGTTGAGTCTGAAAACACAGAAAGTTGGAAATGGTTTTTAGATAACCTTGGGGATGACTTGGATCTTGGAAGAAACTCAATTTTTACTTTCATAAGTGACAGGAAAAAGGTAAAGTTGGAAGTGGTTTTTATACATTTGGTCATTTAAAGTGTGGTTTTAAATTAATTCTAATGATTGACAATTGATTTTTGCAGGGTTTACATACTGCAGTTGAGCAATTGTTTCCCGATGTTGAGCATAGATATTGTATCAGACATGTTCATGACAATATGAGGAAAAGATGGAGGCAAACAGAGTACAGGGACTACTTATGGAGATGTGCATCAGCTACCACCATTCTTGAGTTTGAACATTTGATGAAGGAGTTTAGTCAGTATGATAAGGAGGCATGTGAATGGTTGAAGCAAATTCCTCCTAAACATTGGGCAAGGAGTCATTTTTCAGGTAAATTTATATATTCCAATTTGGTCCTTATGTCTTTCACTTAGTGAACTGTTTTACTTGTATATGAATTGTATTAAATGTTTATTAATGGTAATGTACACACAGGAAGAGCAGTTTCCGATGTGTTGATATCAAACATGTGTGAAGTGTTTAATGGGAAGATAGAGAAAGGAAGGGATAAACTTGTCATTGGATGTTTAGAATACATAAGAGAGTATCTAATGAAGAGGATATGCAATGTCATGAAGGAAATGAAAAAGGCTAAAGGTCCACTAACACCCACAGCAACAGACATCCTAGGTGCAAGAAAAACAGTTGCTTCACAATACATTGCTAGGTGGAATGGGGGAGACAAGTATCAAGTCACATGAGCTTTGCAGGATCAACATGTGGTTTATGTTAGGAACAAAACATGCACTTGCAGAAAATGGGAATTAATTGGAATTCCATGCAGACATGTAACTGCAACTATGAATGAGATGAGTAAAGACCCAGAGGCTAAGCTTGACATTTACAAATTTGTTCACAAGGTGTATTTTCTAGAGACATGGAAAAAGGCTTATTCTTTTAAGGTAGAGCCAATTAAGGGTAGATCTATGTGGCCCAAAAGTGAATGTCCCACAAAGCTAATCCCTCCTCCACATCGCACTCAGGTGGGAAGGCCTAAGAAAAAGAGAAGACAAAGTAAGGGTGAAAGGTTAAGCAAAAAGCAGAAGGTAAGTCAAGGTGATGGAGTGAATGCTACACAAGAAGGAGGTTCCCAAAAACCAACAAATGATGGAGTGCAGAACTATCAAGGAAGCATATCAGTGTTACTTGTAGCAAATGCAAGAACAAGGGACACAACTCTAGGACCTGTAAAGGGCAAGGTGGGAATTAGTCCAAGAATGTGTCATGCATGCATGGGGTTTTCTGTGATATTGGTTGGTTATGAAAACTTGGTTGTTATGTTTACAATATTTTGTTGAAAACTTTTGGTTGGTTGTTATGAAAACTTGGTTGCTATCTTAGGTATGGTAATGTGTCCCTTTTGGTAATGTTTAGAATCTTTGGTTGTTATGTTTAGAAACTTTGGTTGTTATATTACAAGTCTTAATGAAATGTGCATTTTAATTATGTACAATTGGTTCTAATATATATATATATATATATATATATATATATATATATATATATATATATATATATATATATATATATATATATATATTGGTAATACATTCATACCATTTCTATTCATATGTTAATTCTAATACATTCATACCATTTTGGTAAAACATTCATTACACTTGCATCATAAAATTGTACATATATCATTATCATCATAAGTCCCTACAAACATTATCACATAAAATTACAACAAAATGACCAAAACTGTCACACCCCCAAACCAGGCGGCGGAAATGTTCGGGGGCTGTCGTGACTCAATTGAATACCATAACATTGTATATATATGTGAAACGTAACAACATTCGTCACCATGCATTAATATTGTACAACCAGTAAAGTTTACATGAAGTACATTGTTTAAACATTACATTTCCAAAATAAACTGTTCGATTCGTACATAAATAAAACTGCGAGCCATCACTGAATACGATTTCCTTTGATTCACTGGTTTCCTGAGAATACAAGTATTTTGAAAAACGTCAACATATGAAATGTTGGTGAGTTCATAAGTTGTATTTGAAAAACAATGTTTCGTGTCGTTTGAAAACCGCCAGAAAATCCGATATTTTCTGAAAATAGTATAGTCAAAAAGGTGTGAAGATCTATAGGTATGCTTGTTTGTTTTCTATACTTGTAAAAAAATTGTTTATTGAAATCGTATGTATTTTGAATCTGTATGTATTGAAAACCCTAGGAAAACCCGATGTTTTCCTAATTCTTTGAATTCCATGAATTTACTTTGAAACCATTGCAACGCATGAAGTTATCATTACCAGACGACATTGGATTATTTTTGAGCATGATTATCTGCTACAAACACGCGTTACACAAACGACTAGTCTATAGCAATACTAACGATCCCGTAGGCGTCGTCCGTACTAATCACGTTATCCAACCGTCCTGACTACGTGTAGTCCCACATCCGAAGAGAAGGAGGACACGAAGGCCTCGACGACTCCATTAGCCGGTTGGGGATAAAAAGGTACGAGGGGTCCCAGACCCGCCTCGCAAAAAGGCAGACTCTACTAGCGACACTAAAGGACCCTTGGGGACCAGTAGTCTACAAGCCATTGAAAGTCCGGTTACGTCGTGTCGGATTGGTAAAACCCAACACTTCGTAAGATGAAGTCTTTGGGCCTTAAGATCAGGTCGTCGGGCTAGCTAGGCTCAACGAACAAGATTTTACACTTGTGGGGCCCAAAGATAGTGCGTAGACGTCTGTGCACATTTGCATGTATAATGAATTCCCAATCGTTAGTTGTATGAATCGTAGTATTGAATTATCATAGTGTCGTCGTGTTAGTGGTTTCGGATTTTTATTAGTTCGAGACCGAACCAATTCGTTTAACAACGACTTTTGGTGTTGTAATGTATTGTATTTTGTCGATAGTCGTAGTACCATTATTTGGTCAAATTGCATGTATTGAATTAGTCTTGGAAATTTTCTGTTTTCAGCCCCTCCTTGTTTGTAAAATTTACTTTTTCAACCCTTTATTTAAAATACTTTCCGGTTTGGTCCTTAAATCAATTTTCTTGACATTTTAACACCAAAAATTATTAAAATAAATATTTTCCAGCATATTTTTCATAGAAAACAGCTTAAGTCCCTGAAATTTCAGTTTTTCTCGGTTATAACCCTTTTTTCGCAATTTTGACAATTTTGGCCCAAATTGTAAAATTTTGCAACTTTGGTCCTTTTTAAATTTAAAAAGCATTTTAAACCTTTAAAAAGGACTTGGATCACTTATGGTCCACTGTTTTACAGAAAATCACAGTTTTGGCCCTCCAAAAGAAAAATTCGCATAATGGGCCTCATTGGGCCGAAATTGTCATTTTTAGCCCATTAAGCTTGAAATTTATGTTTTTAACCTTCTAAATGAGTATAATTCCAGAAATTGTTTTATTGAAACTGTTTTGACACACTTCATCCATCAGAATTCGTGAAATGTCAATTTGGGCCCTTAATTTTGTATTTTTCACATGTTAGGCCCAAAATTTGTGTTTTTAGCTTAAAGAAAATTGTCACTAAACCACTTAGCTATTTTTCTTGAAACACTTTGTATGTAGAAATACATTTGATGCTAAAATCATATAACATAAGTTATATCTCGGTTTTGAGGAGTTTTATGGCTAGATCCAACATTAAAGCACATAAAAGCATACATATAAGCATGGAAATCATACAAGGCATATAAACACATATAGATCTACACTTTCACTTGTATTCCCCCCCCCCCCACAAAACTCATAAAAACAGAAAATAGGGGGTATGAAGCTCACCTTGGGTGTGGGGGCTCGGTTTTGCAAAGAAAATGGAAGGAAAATGAAGTGTTTTTGGCCTTAACCCCCTTCCTTGGTAGATCTCGAGTTTGAGATGGTTCTAGGGTGCAAAAATCACGATTTTTGCATAGATTAGGAAGGGATTTTGATAAAACAAAGAATTTAGTTCATAGATCCAAGCAACTCTTACCTTAGATGGAGAATTTTGTGGAAATTTCCTCTTGAATGCCTCCTAAAACTCGAGATTTTTGAGTGGAGAGGAAGGAGAGTTCTTGAGTGATCTAGAGAGAATTTGTGAGAGATTTGTGAATGTGTGTGTGTGTTTCGGCCGAGAGGGAGAGGGAGGAAAGAAGAGAAGTGATTTTGAAGTGATGTGCATGGAGGTATGTGAGATATTTTGCATGGAAGTCCTTTGGATAATAATGATGTGGCACAATAAGTCAACTCTTCCATCTTCTTGGGCTTGTGCATTTGGGCCGAGAATTTGGCAAGAAAAGGAAAAATTTGGGCCTTTGCCCCTAAGCCCAACATTAGAGTTAGTTAGGGTGTGTTTTATACCTAAAAGAATGTGGTAGGATTTTTACATTTTTGTTGGACTAGTTTAGGTTATTCATGGAGCAAAGCTTTTAATTCATTTCATTCTAGGCCCAACATGGCCCAAAATGTTGAAATAAACTAGTGTGGGTCCAATTAGAGTCCGATTAGGGTTCTAAGCCCTTGATAGCCAAATTGGAAGCTTATTGGTCCACGTGGATCCAATATGGGAGTCCTAATCCAACATGGACTTAAACAAGGACTTCTTGGATTTCCAATTGTTTGATGACTATTTGTAGTACTTGTATGATGTATTTGATTGAAGTTTTGATTCACATTAGCTTGAATGTATAGATTACATGACACAAAATTTCCAGTTGTGACAAAAACACCCTTTACAGTATACCCCTACACAAACCAAATACAGAAGAATACAATCACAAAGAAAAACCAACTTCCAAACATGTACATTTTCAACTTCAAATTGTCATCCTTCAATGCTTTGACATTTGCCACCAACATGTTGTTCCTGTATATTAGTCCATTGCATTGATCCTGTAGCATGTTCATACTTCTAACCAACTCATTGCACTGTTCGTGCACTGAATTCAAATTTCTTAGCAGACCAGGTATGATGGCTTTAGCCCTAGCACACATTAGGGGATCAAGCCACCCAATAAACCTACAAACGGAATCATTCATAGGGCATGCAAAAAAACTCCTTCCTGGATTCAAAGGGGTCCAAGACGTTTTCACCACAACAACTTTTCCACAAAAACATAGCACCATTTTTGTTGTAACAGAGCTCAAGAAGAAGAAGGGTAGAAGAAAAGAGACGTTAGGGAATGTTGGGGAAGAAGATCACAGGAAGTGGGGGTATTTAAAAAGAATTAATCCAAAAAACGTTTATGCAAAAATGATCCCTAATATATGAAATGAAGAAATTACCCTCACGTGTGAGGCACGTGAGGGGGCTTAACAGATCCAACTCGTAGTTTGGACTAAAACCCCAAAATTTTGCATACTAAAGAGACCATTTTTGCAATTTTGTCATCGGGAATTGGTTTAGATTCGATTAAATTTTTAATTTTTTCCGACCAAATTACCAAATATTGATGGTGAGTAGGAAAGGAAGGAAAAAAGTATTTAAAGGGATAATAACTTAAAAAGGTAATGAAGTTTTAAAAATGTACAAAAAATACCATTATTTTATTTTTAGTACTTAAATACCATTAAAGTATATTTTTTATACACAAAATACCAATGAAGTACACATGTGTTCAAATAATACCTTGTGGGTAACCTGTAATAGCCGGTAAAATAGTATTTTGTGTACAAAAAAAAAAAAAAAAAAAAAAAAAAAAAAAACAATGGTCTTTTTTGTACATTTTTGAAACTTCGTTACATTTTTAAGTTATTTTTCCTTCTTTGAATGTAAAGGAAATTTAGCTACTTTTTATAGAAAAAAACTCTCCACTTCACTTCGGCCACTACTGTTGTTCATCGCCATCCTCCACCACCATAGCAAAACCCTTTTTCTTATTCTTCCTCCTAATCATCTGCTTACTTTCATCAACACCGGAATCTCACCGGCCACCTCCGTTTTTCAGCAAATCCCCACGGCTTCTTAAAACCCAAAAATTCTTGTTCAGCCGAAGTACACTTACGAGACACGATACTTTGATCATACTCTTGATCATTTTAGTTTCAATGATCTTCCCAAGTTCCAACAATGTTATCTCATCAACTCCGATCACTGGGTGGGCCCATGCCCAAGTCGTTTCGGCCCAATCTTCCTTTATTGCGGCAACGAAGGCGACATCGAATGGTTCGCTGCCACCACCGACTTCGTTTGGAAACTCGCCCCTTGTTTTGGTGCCATGGTCATCTTCCCCGAAGTAAAAGCCCTAATCACTCTACTCTACATTAATTTGTTCACTTGCAGACCTTTAATAATACAATTTTATCAAAAGCTACGTGATTTTGATTTAACATCGATATTATGGTGAATCGATGACATATGGAAGCCAGAAAGAGGCATACAAGAATGCTTCTACTTTAACCTATCTAACAGCCGAACAAGCATTTGCTGATTACGCTCTTCTCATCACCGATTTGAAGAAAAATTTATCAGCCGAAACATCACCTGTAATCTTGTTCGGCTGATCATACGGTGGAAGTAAGATATTTTCTAACAATTTCAACAAAAATTAAACAAGCACTTGCTGATTACGCTCATCTCATCCCATTTACCTGAAGTACCTGGTTACCACAATGTTTTAGTTGAACACATGTCTATTTTGTTGGTATTTTGTGTACAAATAGTAACATTAATGATATTTTTTATACTAAAAAAACAACAATGATATTTTTTGAATATTTGGAAACCGGATAACCTACAATAGCCGGTAAAATGATATTTTGGTTACAAAAAAAAAACAATGGTCTTTTTTGTATATTTTTGAAACTTCGTTAGCTTTTTTAAATCATTATCTCTTGTTTAAAAGGTACCAAAAAAAAAAAAAAAAAAAGACATTGGCCGACCGAATCTCTTACGGCGTCGTATTCCCATGTAACATGGTATAACGGGGATCAAAGTGATTTAAGTGGTGAATGTAGCAACTCTTATCTTCAGTTATCACTTCGACGGAGAAAGCTCATTGCTTCCGACGATGGCGCCAATGGCGGTCGCCGTTACATCTATTCCAACGGGTTATAATTTTCTTTCTTTCTGTCGTTCTCCATCCATAACCACCATTCCCCTATCTCCATCTTCGTCAATGTCTCTCTTTTCTTCTGGAACCACCTCAACCTCACCACTGAGTACGTAAACCCTAAATTTGTTTGTTTTGTTTTCTGCAATTTTAACCTTCATTGAATCTGGTTTACGGTTTACCTAACAATACCGTCGTTTTGAGGTTTCAGTTTATTGTGGAAGAGGGGACAAGAAGACTGCCAAAGGAAAGCGATTCAATCACTCCTTCGGGAATGTGAGTTTTTCAATTTGTCAATTTCAGGATAATAGTTTTTGATATATCGCTTGTATACCTCGTAATCATCTATGGGCTATGGCGTGTGAATTGACAGGCGAGACCAAGAAACAAGAAGAAGGGGAGAGGACCACCGAGAGTGCCTGTTCCACCAGCTCCACCGAGGAAGGATCGATTTGACGACGGCGAAGTTGTCAAAATTGAGATAGATGAGTCCCTCTTCTCCAGCTAAACATCTGTTTGTATGAATTTCTTTGTTTTCGTGTTATTAAATACTAGTATGTTGTAAACCAACATTGGAATTTGGAAGAGATTACTCAACTTTGTTTCTTACCACTAATATTGTGTAATCTGAAGGGGTTTTATATATATATATATATATATATATATATATATATATATATATATATATATATATATATATATATATATATATATATATATATATATATATATATATATATATATATGGGACCCAAGAATATCCCTGGGTGATAGGTGAGAGTATGTATATATATACTTCAAATAAAAAGGCAAAATATAAAATAAACACATAACATTTCGTTGATTTGTGGTGAAAATGGATGGCTATTGGCAAACAAGCATATATCAATTCAATGAATTGTTTAAGAGTTGGTTACTTTGGAAAATGTGGGTTGGATCATGGTGGAATAGAACTTAGTATTGATAATTTGATATAATATAATGCGTCCAAAATGGAGTTCCTTTGAATAAGATATTGATCCTTAAATGTGTGTGTTGAAATGAAGATTGAGATGTCTCATTACTTTGTCCTACATAGGAAGGAGATGTAAGTTAAGACTTACTTTCGTTATCATAAGAGAGTTCATCAATTGACCAAACAATCCCCAAGTTCTGAAGACTAGGGTTCGTAACTAAGTGATACGGGATTCTTTCAGTCAGGTATTTGTTTCCATGAGGGCAGAAAGAATACCAACCAGCATCATCCATTATAATAAGTCTACATAGCTGTTCAATGTCTTCATGATTGATTGATTCCCCAATTACAATCCAAAGTAACAGGCAAATGATTATCCACTACTGCAATACTCAGTGAAGTGCCTATCCGGATACAACAAGATCTAATATAAAAATCATTTCTAAAGATTAGATATGGACATATGGTCAAGCAGCTACATAGATGATACAGGTTTCTTCATTTCACTACCAGACTATGACTATAGAACGGAATCAAGATAACCCAAGATTTTTTGTTAAAAGATGCAACTTTCATTACCTGACACCAAAAGTAAATCAGTAATGAGCTAAACATGAGAACACAATGCACGACGTTTAGGACCTTTCCATCAACTTCAGAGTGGTGATTTGCATTTCTTATTCTGAATAGATGCATTTACATAACATGACCCTAGGGCCTAAACTTCCTAGTTGCAAGAAATTTGTATTTTGGGTGCAAGATACCACAGCAATTGTTGTGAATACTGCAGCCATAGCCACATTCAAAATAAATGATCAGAAAAAAAAAAAAAAAAAAAAAAGAGCAATCAATCATCTCCTAGAATTGATCACCTCAATTCGCAGATGCCACGAAGAAACCCTAAAAACATAGAAATTATCATATTGTACTTCGAATTAATTTAAACAAGAGAAATTATTTTATCGATTCATATACAAACCAAAGGGAAGAGCATCGTACCAAATTTTACAGACAAAATTGTTAAAGAGAGAGATCGTTAGAGCAAATGATCATCTGTTGCTATCATAATCAACGATCTCTTTGTCAGTGACAGACCTCGAGAGCTGAACAATTGACCTTCCGATCGAATTGATCCAATCCTCCTTCTCTTTTTCCGAATCTGCAATGAAATACATGGTATCGGATCGGGTCGAGAGCTCAAAAGCGAACTGCTTGTTGATGACATCTTCGGCTCCTTTCACTGTGAGGCAAGCGGCCACTGGGATCACACCACGTGGACGGGAGCCGCGAGTAACGATGGACTCCTTGAACCAGAAGACCTTTCCTTGTTTCAAGACGAACCAACGGCGACGCCAGGTCTTGATGTACTCACCTTGCTTTGTGAGCCAGCCGGTGCGCTCGGGATTTAACCAGTACTCGACGCCGTCATAGTCGTCGGCGTTGGGCGGTGAATCGCCCATCACGGCTCGCCATAGGCTAGCCATCTGATCTGCCGATGGAGGTGGTGGGGCTTCGATCTGGGGATGCTCGTGTCCTGATGGAAACAGAGCTCTAACGGAGATAAAGAGGTGATATTTTTTCTTTTTACCATAAAAAGAAAAAGAAAATACAAATAAAGAGATATTTTCCCATAAAGGGATACTTTGGTGTCGAAATCAATATTCCGTGTTCCGGGCGACCCGAACATCGTATCAGTGGGCCAAAATTAATGAACTTGTAAGATCTATCAAAACGTCACGTTCAATATTCGGTTTTATATTTTCATTTTTATAGATAATAATATATTAATATGATGATAAAAATAGTTATTAAATCCATTTTTTTTTTTTGAAACGGCAACTAACTAATCTACTTCTAAATAACCACCTATCGGCTTTAGAGACTAATAACGAAGCCAGCCTAAGAAATAAGGACGTTTAAATAGGGTATACTTGATCAAAAATTAGGGTTTAGACACCCCTCGTACTCCTCGTACGCCCAACGTACGAGGCAAAACCTTCACGACCAATACTGCTGACTACACTAAGTGTACGCCAAAGTACGTACCGCATAATTGCCCTCGCATGAGTATGCCCTGCGTACTACCCATGTACGCCCCGCATATCAAGGTTTTTCCCAAAAACCCTAAATTCTTCTGAAGGCCGTAACTTCTTCATTCTAAGTCCGTTTCTGACAAACTTTATATCCACGTAAAGGTGGCGAGAATCTCTAAACTTCTAGCAACCCATCAAATCCTTGAAGTTCCTAAACCAAACCCAAAATTCATAAAGGACCGAGATAACAAATTACAATTATGCCCTTGGGCTCCGAAACATCATCGACCACTCGAATCACTTAAAATTTAACACCACCATATAAAAGGGATAATTCCTTTCTTCCCCAAACTCCTAAGCCTTATGATCACTGGTTATCGGGTCGTAGCCCCAAAATAATGAAGTGATTCGAAACCGGGTGTTACAGTACTTGTGTAAATATGAACCCTCATATAGATTTGGTTCTGCTTTATAAGATAACACTTCTTTCTAATATACTCTTTATGATGCTTTGAGCCTTTATTTTTTTTTAAATTCACATGCACAAGTGGCGAAATGTATTTCATATGCAGACTTAACATTCGCCTTGACCAATACAAACTGATAAAGAACTTTACTTATGTAGATATGAGGGTTCATATTTACATGAGTACGTTTAAAATATGTTTTGGAAATACATTTCATAAAATAAACTCAATCATAACTTATGTTCCATATCATAATATTTGGAAATACATTAAATAAACATTCGCCTTGACCAATACAGGTTGATAAAGAACCTTTACTTATCACAATAATCCACTAGAAAAATGAAGCAGTGATTGCATCACAACTTATTACTACACATAAAACAAATGTTTTAAAATAAAGACTGGTGCCTCTCAAGAAGAAAGCATATCTATTTATTTCTGTTTCCACAATGAGAAAGGATGGCACCTTAGATATTTTTAAGTGTATCCCGAATGTGTTGTGACTCATGTATAACATTGTCGATGTGCATACGTTGTGGTGGGGAATCAATGGAGCATGATACTCCAATCTTAACAACTGAAGTCAAACATTCCTTTATTTTCTTTGCATTTCCTAACGTGCATTGTGTACCAATAGCATCCTCTTGAAGAAAATGTTGAAGATCATAATCAATAACATCGGTTACATGGTCTGGCAAGGCCAATAATGAAAATTTATGAATGATAAGGCCTTCATTAAAGATGTCATATGTCGGCCTTTTCCTTGCCATCACCTCTAACAATAATATTCTGAAACTATATACATCCCCACTACTTGTCATCTCACTCCCAACCCCATACTCTGCAACTTATATCCAACTATGTTAGAAAAAGGTAATAATATAAATAAATATGAGCATTTTGTAAAAAAGAACTTCATCTGGAGGTGCATACCCAATAGTTCTTCTAAACCCAAGTGTGCTGTTTTGGTTTGAATTTATTCCAAGAAATCGAGCTAAGCCAAAGTCTCTAACATGGGCCACCATATCATCATGAAGTAGAATGTTTCTAGGCTTCAGGTCACAGTAAATGATGATCGGTAGGTGGTGATTATGGAGATAATCAAGTGCAGATGCAACATCGATGAGAATATTTATTCTTTGAAGAAGGTTTAGTCAAGATGTAGTTACATTTGAATGCAATCAGTCATGTAAACTCCCATTGGGCATGAACTTATATACTAAGGCTTTGAATTCATTGCCTTGATAGTCAACACTTGAACATGAAGTTATTATCTTCAATAGGTTTCAGTGTCGAATACTCCACCATGCTTCGCACTCTGTATAAAGCTTTCGTGAGCACCTCGATTTTGAAGATGTATGACTTTGACTGCATCAAAATATATCATCATGATCATCAAGGACTCCTTTGTAAACAAAGTTGAATAGAACCTCACTAATTAAATTGGCTTCAGTTCAAAAGTTGACCGTATGAAGCTCTCATGAATCCTTCGTCCCTAAGTGATTAGGAAGATGGGCACTTCCTTTTCTTATGCCAAACATACACCAAACATAGAATGCTTAAAATGGTGAATGAAGTTAGACCATCTCCAACTCATTTCTATTTTTTCCCCCAAAAAATGGAATAAAAAAATGGGGTAAATAGTGTTTCATCGCCAACCCTACTCCATTTTACCCTATTTTTTACCCAAAAAAGTATATTCCTAGTATATTCCATTATTCCAACTTACATAGATTCTCAAACACACAATTTCTACTAATTTAACAAATATATAATCTATATTTTTTCATTACAATAATATTAAATAAATAAGATTATATTTAAAACACACTTATAAGCTTTTGTAAAATACGTTATCATTTTTTAGAATTTCAATATGTATTTAACTTTTGTATGAATTTGATGAACAAAAAACAAACTTTATATGTATAATTTAATATATAACAAAATATTATGAGTATTAGATATTACATTTAAATTATAATTAGTAGGTAAAAATAAATTAGAAATGTATAAATATATAAACAGAGAGACTAAAACCGACAAAGTAATGTTCATCCCCATTTTGGGATAAATGAATAGTATAACACTATATTTAGTGCAATACTATTCGTATCCCCCAAAATGAGGGAATAAATGGAAGAGGATTGGAGAAGAATAGGGAAAAAAATGGAGGAAAAATAGAAAATAGGAGTGGATATGATGGACAAAGGAAATCTTTTTTTATGCTTCCCTGTTTCCTTGCATTTTAGTAACCCAAGTTCAGCCAAGCCACCACAAAACCTGCTATTACCCAAAACAGTGAATGCACTTGCATTGGCAAACACAACTAGCGTTGGTGCTTCACCCTCAAAAGTATTAAAGGATAGGTTTACATATTCTATTAAGATTAACTATTTCAATAATTGAGGAATTTTTCCTGACAAATTATTAAGAGAAAGATCAAGTGTGGAAATTCCTCTCATGAAGATTACTGAAGATAGTATAATGCCTTGAAATAAGTTGCCTTTTAAAGGATAAGAATAACATGCTAGTGCAACCACCAAGGCTACTTGGAATGTCGCCTAATAAATTATTATCAAATAAATTCAGAGAAGACAACATCTTCGTTTAGGTATTCTCCCACTGAGTTCATTGTGTTCAAGTTGCAACACCAACAAATTACGACTATTTCATGTGATATGTCATTCCAGGGAAAAAAGAAAAAAGGGGTATATTTTAGCCCAATCTCTCTTATAATATAGGTAAACTTGGCTATTAAACTGGTGTTGGAGTGTTGGATTATCAGTCCCATTGATAATTCTTCAATCGAGGCATGAAAGCAAAGACACAAAAACTAAAATCACCAATTCGATGCATTGAAAAACGAAGATGCAATAATCACAACGTAGAAGACGGTGAGTTACATATTAGTATCTATGACATCCTCAATTTCACGGCCAGAAAAAACCGATTTGTTTATGCTTTGCGAAAAAATCAGAGTATCCTTTTGAAGAATAATATTGCGGAATTTGTTCCCAAAATATGATAAATATATTTTCAAAGCATTTCGAAGAAATGTATTTTAATTATATTAAAAACGTTGGGATGTCATCGTAAATAAAGTACATAAGCATAAATAGAAAATAACATAAGCCTTACAACATCTATTATTCTACTAGTCTATGACTCATAAATCTCTCATCTGATCATCACACCGGTGTTCTTGTGCCACTGCCTGTAATACAAGAAACCGAGTGGATCAAGCTTGGGAGCCTGGTGAGCACATAGGGTTTTCAACCTACAATAATTAAATTCTTTATTTTCATCAAGTCATTTTATCTTCACTTTCTGTCCCTAAAGCATCTAATTTAAAGGACCTAGACTAAGGATTACCTTCGGGATTGACAACAATGCTTAGGGGGTTCCACAACAATATATGTCAGTAAGGCAATCATGAGGAGGATAGAGTACACCTGGTGAACACTGTTGGAAGCGTGTCCAAGGTCATTAACTATTGCTGATATTTCTAATAATAGCAGAGTCCTCTTGGGTTGCCCTCAAGACTCAAATTAAGTGGAATAAATAAAAGAGGAATTATTTTATTAATTATTATGGTTTAATAATTAATTAGAAAATAATTGGAAAACAATTTGGGAATTAATTAACAGTTTAATTAATAGAAGGGTTGAATATCAATTAATCCATAGTTGGTTGATCATAAATATTCCAGAACCCTAGGAAGAAGGGTGGTGGACAAAAATTCCCTTTAGATAAGGGAAATTTCATTCATAGGGTATCCCATCCCACATAGGCTTGAGGATAAAACCCTAGGAGGTTTCCAAGGCTATAAATAGGGCCTTAGGGATTCATTCCTCCTTACTCAATTATTGGCTTGAATTTTCACCACCTTCTTTCTCCCTCCTTATGGAAGAACTCTCATTATAGTTTATCCCCTCCTATTTTAATTTTATTCTAATCTTTTGAGTTCATTGGGTGTGAACCAAGACAGGGATTCTATTTTGGGTCCTCATCATCCAAATAAGGTAACACGCACGAGGAGTCAAGCTCGAAGATCTTTTGCTACAAAAGAGGTATGTGATTCTTCTTTGTAATTCCGATTTCTAGGGTAGAAGTAATAGTATGAAACCATAGGTCCATAGGTTGCATGTACATTTAGGTATATCGTTGTTGCTTCGATTTTTCCGCTACCTAGTTTTAGAGTGTATTTGATGCCTTAAATACCTAACAGTGGTATCAGAGCCATTGGTTCATGGTTACTTTCACCCTAGATCCATGTTCTCTGAAAATACTTGTTTGAAATTGAATGATGGAAGAACAAATGAAAATTTTGAAATATGTTAAAAACCCTAGTCGCATCCACGACGTGGCTAGGAGCCCACGATGTGGCCTCGATAGATTTAGGGTTTTCGGATTTTCCTCTATTTTTCACATATGAAGTTTTGATAAATATGGATAAATGCCAAATTTAAATTTTTTTAAATATGGAAAATTGATAAATATTATTTAAATATGTTTATTTGAATTTGAATATTTATTTATTATTTAATAATGGATTTGAATATTTAATATTATTTATAATAGAGATATATAAATTTGAATATAAACCCCTCATGTTTAATTAATTATTATATTGCATCCTTGTAATTAATTGGAATTAATAAATAGACAACTAAATTTAAAAGATTTTAAATTTGCCCCTTATATATATATATATATATATATATATATATATATATATATATATATATATATATATATATATATATATATAAGATCCATATCTATTCTATGTATAAGAGAATTACAATGTGCGTCGTTGCATATTTTAAATATTGACATTGTCAGCCTTACCTCGACTAGGCTCACGTGTTCTAATGTAAGGGTGTAAGGATGTTTCTTTGATTCCTAATGAGGTTGGTTTTTAATATGCTTCACGCTTACCACCCTCACCATCCTATCGTATTTTGAGTATGGAGTTACCGAAAGGGTTTGATAGTGATAATGGTCAATCTAAAAGTATTCTAAATACAAGTATAAAATGAAATATTGTTTTATTTAATTAAAAGTGAATCTTATGTTATCCATGAAAATTGCACATTCTCTTTATAACTTGTTGATGGAGCTTGTGTGGTTAACCAACATGTGAATTTGAGAGTGTAGGTAGAGAACGATTTGAGACTTGCGAATCTTAAGCCTAGCTTGAGTCAGGGACCACACAATTTTGTATGGGTGATTCACCATCTGTTCAATGATTTGCTGCATCCCCGTCATTGAATTTGAGATGAACATAATCCGAGATTAACATGCCATTGATAGTCGATGAATCTCAAAGATCTAGGAATTTCATAGTGATTGAAATTGGAAAAGAGCTTTGTCTACCTAAATAACTTTGTGGTGTGTTTACGAAATCCCTTTAGACATCATGAAGCCAAATATGGATCCTAGCCTTAATCTAATAATTTATTTCAGGGTGATTATTAATTAAGGATTTACATCAAACTAATTGGAATCTTATCTTTTCGAGATGTCGATCCCGACAAACAACAACAACAATCTTTCTCTTCCTCTAACTCAAAAATCAAGCTTCTCTCTAATGTCAGTTCTAAACAGGGAAAGGCTCAATGAGGATGGATCAAACTATCTTGATTGGATCAGGACCTTGAGATTCACGTTGAGATATGAGAACAAAGAGTATATTCTCGACGAAGATGCTCCCATACTTGGAGAGAATGCTACCCCAAAAGAAGTTACTACCTACAACAAGCAT